AGTCCAGGGGAAATCCGGGGTAATCGGGCTGCGCAAATACCGCATTTGATGGAGAATAACACGCGTACCTGAGCATAATGCACATCTCCCTTTTTCGGACCAACATTTCGACAATTCAAGGTATATCCGGAGTATAACGTGCAGCTGCTAGATTGGAAACATACCCAAGGTCCACTGCCACTTCTTCCACTTTAGACTTCATAAGCCAGCCATCTGCTAGCATGTCAAACAAATCTTCAACCTCCCAGCCAACCAGCACACCTGAAATACGTGCACACATGTGCATGTACACACACACACACACATGCACGTACACACACACGCACGTAAACACACACACGCACGTAAACACACACGCACGTAAACACACACGCACGTAAACACCCACCCACACACACACACAAACACACGTGCACGTACACACACATGCACACACATACGCGCACACACATACACGTACACGCACACACGTACATACACACGCGTACACACCACACACGTACACACACACGTACACACACATGTACACACATGCACACACACACACAGGTACACACACACGTACACACACATGCACACACACACACACACACACACACACACACACAGGTACACACACACACACACACACACACCAGGAGACAAAAGCAAACAATTTTACACACATGTTGCATACATGCCAACCTGGAGGCTTGCGTTCCCTGGACAATGAGGCTGAATTCGCTTGATTTAGACAGTTTTTCCTGGACAATGAGGCTGAATTCTCTTGATTTAGACCGCTTTCCCTGGACACCAGTTTTTTTTAGCGCATCCATCATTAGCAGATGTATTTTTATTTTTCATTTTTGTCTACTACGTGCTACTACATGCCGTGTCACTACTTACGACGGATCTAGAAGTTCAACCAAACCCTGAAAAAGCGTCATAAAAGGAGAACTTCCATTTCAAAAGTTCCATCTCAGTCCCTGGACTTTGGCCGCTGAGGACATCCCTGGACTGTCCCGGGACAAACACCCTATTCCCTGGACTGTCCCGGGACAAACACCCTATTCCCTGGACTGTCCCGGGAAACCCTGGACGGTTGGCATGCATGGTGTTCACGTGTTCAAGAGTCCAGTGTGGTATACTTCTGAAGTAGGAAAATGGATGTCGACATGAACGCATGCTCACACGATACGTCTGCACGAGTGCACATACACACAAACACACACACACACACACGCACGCACACACGTACGCACGCACGCAATCCATGTGACCGGTATGATGTCCGAGAGCCTCGCAGGCAGGTGATGCACCACTGAAGCAATACCGTATTTTTCCGGTTGTAAGTCGACCTTTTACGACTAAAAATAGAAGGAGAAAGGGTGGGGGTCGACTTACAACCGGGATTCGACTTATAACCGGGAACTATCAGAATCTTACAAAAATGACCTGCCCTGCATGCATGAGTGCACCATGTGTACACATGTTTGCCAGTTTATTGGCCTTTTTCAAGGATTGGGACGTCATACCCTCCAATAAGGAATGTTTACATGATTTGTTGATATGTTAAAGGGGAAGTGCATCGATTTTTCAAGTAGGGCTCAGATGAAAGACAATTGGATATCGGTTCCGATGGTATATCTCTCGCTTGCGTACGGCAAGGGAAACTTGCCATATCGCCGATTTCCTGATCCCGTTTCCATGGCGACTACAGGTGATGACGCACATTCTGCTTAGCTCCGTGAGAGAGAAGGTCGATCAGTGAAGAATTGTGTCATTTTCAGTTGTCTTCTTGTATTCACGAAGTGAAAGAAGTACTGTGTTCAAGGCTGTTAGTGCCGTGAACTGTTTATCAGTAGTCCTCTCCGTTGTGTACTGGGACGTGACACCGACAGAGGAAAGCTGGAGTGCGGAGACGTTAGCTGGCAAGCGAAAATCGTGACGAACCAAGTGCTGAAATCTTGGTTGGGACAAATCAAACGTTCAGCATTTACCTCAACCAAGGACCATGCCGTTTGCTCTTTCCACTTCCTGAAGGTGGATGCGCTGCCTGCTGGAGACTCTCCTATCTCTCGTAACATCTTCTGAAGCCAGGTGAGACGACGAGCAGCGGAGATTAGCGAACGAAATAATGTCGTATGTTTTGAAATTTTTGCTGAACATATCTCAGGAGAGATGGCATGTATGAACTTAGTCCATGTGAACTCAATCAGCCCATGAACTAACCCATGAACAAATGCTTTCCTTGCAGACGTGCATGTGTCTATCCAATCTACACGTAGAGATCATTCCATGCCCTCAGTGAATGGCCTATTTATATATTATTTGTCCATACACATCATCTGCATGTTGTCTCTATGGGGAAGGGTATTGTTCATTTCAAATGAAGAAGTTCGGGCAATAGATGCTTTCCTCTGGTACAATTCTGTTGACCTGATGTTCTTTCTAGCTTCATGGGTAGCTTACATGAGGTACCATCACCATCATGTTTACATGAGGGTCAAACACTGCACCGTTCTTTGTTGTGACATGACGTAAGTTATTGTAAGTGCTCGCAGACTCCATACGTTCCAGCAACACCTAGCATGGTTTTCCATGAACGTTGTGGGTGAACAAATTCTGTCCAACATATTTATACAGACATGCCAGCACACAAAATGCACCATACACACACTTGCCCTGTTGAGTCACTGCCACGTGGGCCCGGAGGGGCAGTGGAGAGAGAATGGGAGAACGCCGCCCCATGGCGCCCGGGACACAAAAACAAGAGTTTGTCTACGTAGGGAGCAACACACATACATAAACATACACCACACACACACACACAAAATGAGAGTTCGGGTCATCTGCCACGAGACTGACGTACGGCCGGGGAGAGCTTCAGCAGCGGTGTCTATTCCTGCCCTGGACCGAACGGAAGCAGCGGTCGCAGGACACACAGTATTCACCACAACACGGCTCCACTGTCGTTGGGGGCTGAGCCACACACTTGTGACGAGCAAGAACGCCACAGCTAAGAAAGCAACGGCCACAGCGATCACACTGGCATGCTCCACGCTGCTCCTGCACACACTCTCTCTCTCTCTCTCTCACACACACACACACACACACACACACACACACACACACGTGCGCACATACTGCAAGAAATAAAGAGAGCATGAGTGTCAGATTCTTGCATAGGAAGTGTTTATCAGCACACACTTATACATGCACATGCAGGCACTCAACGACCAACTATGCACCATGCCGTATGTTCGTCAAACATAAGATTGCAATACCAAAGAACAACAAACAAGATCACTTACTTCGTTCTCCTCCAAGTGTGTCCTCCCCAGCCAGGCCATCTCCTGCATTTCCCTAGGCGGAATGTAGCCTACGAAATGGTTTCTCTAGACTTGGAGAAGATGCTTGGTATTCGCCATCTCTCCTGAGAAATGTTCAGCAAAAATTTCAAAACATACGACATTATTTCGTTCGCTAATCTCCGCTACTCGTCGTCTCACCTGGCTTCAGAAGATGTTACGAGAGATAGGAGAGTCTCCAGCAGGCAGCGCATCCACCTTCAGGAAGTGGAAAGAGCAAACGGCATGGTCCTTGGTTGAGGTAAATGCTGAACGTTTGATTTGTCCCAACCAAGATTTCAGCATTTGGTTCGTCACGATTTTCGCTTGCCAGCTAACGTCTCCGCACTCCAGCTTTCCTCTGTCGGTGTCACGTCCCAGTACACAACGGAGAGGACTACTAATAAACAGTTCACGGCACTAACAGCCTTGAACACAGTACTTCTTTCACTTCGTGAATACAACAAGACAACTGAAAATGACACCATTCTTCACTGATCGACCTTCTCTCTCACGGAGCTAAGCAGAATGTGCGTCATCACCTGTAGTCGCCATGGAAACGGGATCAGGAAATCGGCGATATGGCAAGTTTCCCTTGCCGTACGCAAGCGAGAGATATACCATCGGAACCGACATCCAATTGTCTTTCATCTGAGCCCTACTTGAAAAATCGATGCACTTCCCCTTTAATAGCAGGGAGTGGTTGGTATATAACGGTAGTGCAACTTTAAAACGCAGAAGTGAGACCTCCGGATACGGGGGTCGACCTATAACCGGGGTCGACTTACAACCGGTAAAATACGGTAAGTGTTGATGTCCCCAGACCACCAAATGGCAAGTCTCCGTTGCAGATGAGAAGCATGGTCGGTTGATCCTGCTGAACTGTGCGGCTTCTGCAATAGAAGATGGCACGCCACAGCTACGGATGTCCATGCCTGCTCACAGTTGGGCCCTGTGTCTGCAAACAATGTAACTAGTCGAGCGATCTCCTCAACAAAGTGCTTTCCAGATGCTCCAAAAGGGACAATAAATAGATTTCGCCTCCAATTAACAGTCTCCTCGTACGCTGCTTGCAGGGTATTGTGATTGGCTTCTGGACGGCCGACAGGAGTGTGCTGCACGTCGTTAGGTGGCAAGGGCTGGCTGTTGGATTTAGCGAGCGGCATCTCCTCCTGAGACTCTGAGATGTCTGGAGGACAGCTAGCTGGAGGCTGGTGGCATTCGTGGAAACTGTCTGCTCCTGACAGTGACTCTGGCTCCATACACCTGGCTCCATACACCCCCCCCCCCCCCACACACACACACACAAACACAAACACACACAAACACACACAAACACACACAAACACACACAAACACACACAAACACACACAAACACACACAAACACACACAAACACACACACACATACACACACAAACACACACAAACACACACACATACACACACACAACTACTACCACTATGTACAGCTACCCTATCGGGCCACGCCGCTCCCAGAAACGGGAGACAAGGACAAGAAGAGAGAAAAGAGAGAGAAATCGCAAAGTCAACAATATTTGGCATGGCGTTGCAAGTCCTGTGGCCTTGAGAACCGTCTTTCGCAATGCTCGCATTCATGACGGCAGTTGTTCCTGGCTGCACGTGACATCCGTTTCGCACGGTCACAGTGATGACAGCTCAAACCAGAACGAGAGCGGAAAGAGCGGCGACAAACATCACATCGAAAAGAGTCAGATTCATGGCGAATAGATATAGTGGGGACATCCGTGGACACAGGACAGCGATGCACAGCCAGTCCTCCAGCGCTCCTCAACCACCGCATGCACTTCATACATTGCCTGGCACCCTTCTGTTGTGACACAGATACACACACACATACACACACACACACACACACACACACACACATACACACACACACACACATACACACAACAAGCAGAGCAGGAGTGCACTAACCCAATATCCGCTGATAGTTGAGAGGGTAGAGCTTCCGAACATCAGGTTCCAATCTAACCGAGAAGACTCTCTTTCGCATCTCAGGGTCTGCCCGCCGAAGGATTTGTATATTGTGTTGGTTTCTGAAGGAGAAATCAGACATATCTGTAGGCATGAGCCCTTGCAGAGGCGAACATGCAAGACATGTGTGTAGCATGTGTGTTGTGTATAATGTGTGTAGCATTATGAGGTGAGTGCATGTGTGTAGCATCATGGGGAGGAGGGGGGATTGTATGTTGGGTACATGTGTGTGTGTGTGGTGGGGGGGGGGGGGGGGGGAGGGGGAGGGTGGGTGCATGTCTGTAGCATTATGGGAGAGGGGGATTGTGTGTTGGGTACATGTGTGTGTGTGTGTGGGGGGGGGGGGGAGGGGGGGGGCATGTGTGTTGGGTACATGTGTGTGTGTGGGGGGGGGGGGGTGCATGTGTGAGGGTGGTGCATATACAGGGGTGCACGTGTGTGTCGGGGAGGGGGGGGGGGGGGTGGTGGGGGGAGACTGCAGCTGATTCCAATAATCACATCTCAACAAGAGTAGAAGGGCGCTGGCCTCCTCCCAATGGAACATGATATCAAAGAGAATATTACTATTAACCATCGTTACGATTACTACTAACCATCGTAATATTACTACTAACCATCGTAATATTACTACTAACCATCGTAATATTACTACTAACCATCGTAATATTACTACTAACCATCGTAATATTACTACTAACCATCGTAATATTACTACTAACCATCGTTACGATTACTACTACTTACTACTTACTCAGGTAGTGTGCTGGCCCGTGGAAGATCTCTAGGCTGGCAAGTAGCAACAACAATAGCAACCGACAACAGCAGGGCCAGCAGCCACACCACCACCACCACAGCCAAAACCAGCAGCAGCAGCAGCAGCAGCAGCAGCAGCAGCAACAGCAGAAGTAACAGCAACAGCAACAGCAGGCACAACAGCAACAGCAGCAACAGCAGCAGTAGCATCAGCAACAACACCAGCAACAGCAGCAGCAACAACAACAGGAACAGCAGCAGCAGCAGCAGCAGCAGTAGCGGCAGCAACAGCAGGAGCAGCAGTAGCAGCAGCAGCAGCAGCAGCAACAGCAACAGCAGCAGCAACAGACGCAGCAGCAACAGCAGCAGCAACAGCAACAGCAGCAACAGCAACAACAGCAGCAGCAGCAACAGCAGCAGAAACAGCAGCAACAAGAGCAGCAACAGCAGCAGCAACAGCAGCAACAGCAACAGCAGCAGCAGCAACCGCAGCAGCCACAACAGCAACAGCAGCAACAGCCGCAACAACAGCACATAATCAAGAAGGATGTGAGAGTTTTGATGATTGAGAACTATTAGCCTAGTAGTGATTTGGGGATGCTGTCGTTATCATTTCACTTGCAACTTGAAACGTGATTGGTGCCACAACACCATAGACAACCCGAGCAGAAAGATGTACGAAGTCGGAACCATCCACTAGCTCACCTAGCGTGCCAACTGCACCGCCAATGTGAGCTATGGGGGCGTTTGAAATGTTCGAAATGCTGCTCTTTGGCACGCACAGCCACAGCCAGTTCTAGTACATGTTTTGAGTTTAGATGGTACACAGTCCATGCCGTTTTTATGCAGGGCTGGTATCATGATATGTACGCCTTAAAAGGGCACTTTGCACACTTAGGCTGGAAACGTCACAAACTGAAGAACAATCCAGGTTAGATTCGCAGATCTAAGAACACAATGTACTGCTTTGTATGTGGTGTGCTTGCATGGCATGATGCTCTCCATGATCGGGGAATGAGAACAAAGCGACTAGCATTTGAACATTTTAGAGAACAATGGCAGGCTGCGCCTTGAGTCCCTCCGTTCTTGGTGCCCTATACTGGTGTGACTAATGTAATAAAGACATCGGTTGGTTACCATGGTTACAGCAGGATTGGATGAACTGCAGCCTGAGAACTGTGCATGTGTTCCATGGTTCAACAAAACAACTTGCAATGCTGCACTGCAGGACAAGTCGGCATTCAACTCAAAATATGCTACAGAAAAAAAGAGACAGACGGACACTGAGAGGTAGAGAGATAGGGACAGAGGCACAGGGGGGGGGGGGGGGGGGAGAGAGAGAGAGAGAGAGAGAGAGAGAGAGAGAGAGAGAGAGAGAGAGAGAGAGAGAGAGAGAGAGAGAGAGAGAGAGAGAGAGAGAGAGAGAGAGACCTTCTCACCATGTACTCCGGGTCCATCGCATTCGCAATCATGTCACTAGATTAGACAACAAGAACATGAAACATACAGGTGTGTGCACATACACACATACACACACACACACACAGAAACACACATACACATACACACACACACACACAAATACACACACATACACACACATACACACACACATACACACACACACACACACACAAACACTATAATCTGCAAGTGCATAGCAAAGCCTGCTGAAGAAATTCGCAAACAAAGACACAATGATCAAATCTCTTATTCAAGCACGGTTCTTAGAGAGAGTGGCACTCAGGCACCAGAAAATAACACCACGGAAATATATCTGGCACATGAGGAAAGAATGCCAGATAATTATAAACACAGACCAGGGATTGTGGGTAAAGAATGCATGTACCATGCACATACCACAGAAATGCGGGCCCTGGAACATGAGAAAAGAACACCCATATCTACATGTACATTACCTCATTGTCTCGTTGTCAATGTCCAGTTCTCCCAGTCACATACACATCAGTGCACACTGCCACACAATGCCAGCACTATACTACACTACACTGAACTCTGAGACTAGACTGTGTCTTTACTCCCAGACAAGGCTGTACTACTCTGAGACTAGACTGTGTCTTTACTCCCAGACAAGGCTGTACTACTCTGAGACTAGGCTACACTGCTCTATCTATCTCTCTCTCTCTCTCAGACTAGGCTGTACTGCTCTCTAAGACTAGACTAGACTGCTCCCTCTCTCTCAGACTAGGCTGTACTGCTCTCTAAGACTAGACTGGACTGCTCTCTCTCTCTCTCTCAGAATAGGCTGTACTCCACTCTGAGACTAGGCTGTGCAAGTACTACATGGACACAGACAGACAGAGCAACCGACTACAACCAGGAGTAATCTTCTCTGCAGCTCTCCTCTTGCTAAGCGTTTCTCGTCAAAGCACCCATCAGACAGCATCACAACTAGTTCACAAGCCTACTAACCACTGGGCACACACGTTGGCAATGGAACGACGCTGAAGTATGCTGTTACTATTTGTAGTGGAAAGTGCCTGGGGTTACCCCAGGGGAGCGCTAAAAGCTGCCGTGCTAATTTAGCACAGCAGATAGAGAGTAGTCACCCGGCATATACCCCCAGAGGTCTGAAGACAAACAGAGGTCTGAAGACAAACAGAGGTCTAAAGACAAAGGGTGACGACACTCACAGAGAAGGTGAAGGTGTCAACAATTCAGGAGGGGCAAGGAAAAAAGGTGACAAAGGGTGGTCAGCTCGACCAGGGATTGTGAAAAGATGATGTGCTATCTCTTTGACTGGTGTGAAGTATCATTGTGTGAAAAGATGATGTGCTATCTCTCTGGCTGGTGTGAAGTATCATTGTGTGAAAAGATGATTTGCTATCTCTTTGACTGGTGTGAAGTATCATAGTGAGAAAAGATGATGTGCTATCTCTCTGACTGGTGTGAAGTATCATTGTGTGAAAAGATGATGTGCTATCTCTTTGACTGGTGTGAAGTATCATTGTGATACATACAGACACATACAGACATATACAGACACATACAGACACATACAGACACATACAGACACATACAGACATATACATACAGGTGAAAGACTTTCTTTCTTTTGTTTCACAGTGTGCCCAAGCCTCTTGGTTTGGGCAAAATACACACAAGCGCAACCTCAACAGGAAGAAAATTAGCTAAACTGGAGGGAAATAAACACAAGCGCAAACCTCAACATGAAGAAAATGAGCTAAACTGGAGGGAAATAAACACAAGCGCAAACCTCAACAGGAAGAAAATTAGCTAAACTGGAGGGAAATAAACACAAGCGCAAACCTCAACATGAAGAAAATGAGCTAAACTGGGGGGAAATGAACACAAGCACAACCTCAACAGGAAGAAAATTAGCTAAACTGGAGGGAAATAAACACAAGCGCAAACCTCAACATGAAGAAAATTAGCTAAACTGGAGGGAAATGAACACAAGCGCAAACCTCAACATGCAGAAAAATAGCTTAACTGGAGGGAAATGAACACAAGTACAACCTCAACATGCAGAAAATTAGCTAAACTGGAGGGAAATGAACACAAGCGCAACCTCAACATGCAGAAAATGAGCTTAACTGGAGGGAAATGAACGCAAGCGCAAACCTCAACAGGAAGAAAATTAGCTTAACTGGAGGGAGGGAGCTAACATGGCTGTGAAAACTGTCTAATACCGAGAGAGCTAAACGTATGGTGCATGGCTAGCTAGCGAGATGGTGCAAGACTTAGCTGCACTGGGATCACACGTTTAAAATGGTACATGACTGAACAGTGAGTGGTCCTGCAATGAGCAATCTGACCCCATGAGTAAAATAGCACTGGCACTGGACACATCCCTCTGTCCCGGCCAGGCCTCTACAGTCTCTCATTTCTCAGTGTTGGTGCTGACCGCTTTATGCACTACCCACTATCATACGATCCCAGCGGACCTTGCCTGCTTTTCGCGCTAGCTGCTCACAATTTCTCCTTGGGCACCCTGTAAGAAGGCCATAGGTCTGTTTGGTATACCCAAGTAAAATAATAAATTAATAGTACTACTATTAAATGCACTACTACTCTGCAAAATTGCATTTGTTTTGCTGAGGTGGTCAATCACGTGCCTCCGTGGTTGCAGAGCGTCTTACTTGCGAAAGAGAATAGGCCCATCTTTTCTCGACCGATGTCGCCTTCTGTCCATGTAACCGCCTTCGGTATTCATATGTTGGCCTATTTAACATTGGCATGCTCTGCGGATTTGTAGGCATGCTAGGCAATTTAAATATTATCCTGCAAAGTATTTTGTAGGTGCGTAACTACTACGTCATGTACTACAATTGGTACATGACTTAATAATAGCCGTCTGGCATGGTACAATAACCTTTTTTTCTTTCTTCTTTTCTTTTTAATGGCTTTCTCTTCTTCCTCGAATGGTTTACAATCTGTATCACAATTATTTGTGGGTTCAGCAATAAAGGATGTGATACTACTACTCTGTGCGCTTGAGTACGGCTCTACTTTACCCCCTGAGCCGTCGGATTCATGGGCGTAGGAACCGGTCCGACAGGCCCGGCGGTCGCCGGACCAATAAATTTTCGAATTTTTTATTATTATTTTTTTTACATTTCAACCTTGTTGATGGCTTGTGGACTCTTGACAGGTACCATGTTTTACATCGACAATGCGGTGTATCATCAGCATGCATATTCTTATTTCTCATATTATTCTGTAGCATTAAATTATGGCCTTTTAGGCCCAATTTTCAAAAAAAATTCCGGGGGAGGACCCCGGACCCCCTCTCACAAGTTCGCCACACCAATATTAAACTGCTTCCTACGCCCTTGGGATTTGATGGATTTCTCTGACCAGAACTATAGTATAGTTCAGAGGTTGGTGGTAAGCAGACACCGTACAGCAGAGTGGTGACAGGGATTTGCTGGTGAAACAGTTCTCAGCATTGTGTTGTCTTGTTGTGAATTATGTGCGTTGCGCCGGCTGTAGTATACAGGTGCTATCTGGACACCTGAGGCACCGAGACGCGATGACCACTACTAGTCCCATGACACTAATAGTACGTATGATGTCATCGTCACACTATTAGTACGCATGATGTCATCCTCACACTAATAGTACATATGATGTCATCCTCACACAAATAGTACATATGATGTCATCCTCACACAAATAGTACATATGATGTCATCCTCACACAAATAGTACATATGATGTCATCCTCACACTAATAGTACGTGTCATGTCATCCTCACACTAATTGTACATACGATGTCATCTTCACACTAACAGTACATAATGATGTCATTTAAAACACCTTACAATACCTTGCGTTTTATATTCTAAATATTGTTGCCCGTAAAAGCGGCTTGGTCACATAATGATGTCATCCTCACAAAAATAGAATGACCTCACACTAATAGTACATAATGATGTCGTCCTCACACTAATAGTATGTATGATGTCATCCCAGCACCAAGAGTACATAGGCTCCCAAGAGCGTGCAACTCTGGAATCTGGACACCCTTTCTATCTCCGGGGGTACGCCGACAGCGAATCTCACATCACGTGGTGTAGTGTCGCAGTTGTACGTTCCCAGCCCGCTTTTAGCGACTAGTGGTGAAAAACAGCACTCCTGACAGAAACCCACTCAGGTTACGCGAGTCACCACAACTCACCAGCATGATCACGACTCACCAGCATGATCGTGGCAGATATTCGGACTGCACTCACGCTAGCCTTCGGTGCACGTAGTACAAATCGTACTTGGAACATTTTTTAAATCTTTTCCTTTTTCCTTATATACAGTCAAACCGCGTTAGGAAGAACACTGATAAGACCAATGTTTGCCTAAGAAGAAATAGTATTCGTAACTGCATTGGATAAACCCTGCGTGTGTATTCACTGGGTAAAACATATGGATAAGAAGAACTCCCGTTATTACGAACAAATACCATCGGTCCCTTGGTGTTCGTCCTGAAGAGGTTTGACTGTATGTGTGCCTGTAGTCAATCTCATGTAATAACATGGCCAGCAATCGAGGACATCTGAGAGTTGTAATTTTTGTACTCCTCCGAGGTGTGATTTTTGGCGTGCTTGGCCAAGCACAAGGAAGCCATCTGCAAAAAAACTGCAGAAAATGGTTGTTGTTTGATCCTTTGGTGTATTATCTTTGTTTCTAGTCGAAGCTAGTTGCTGTTTGGAGCAGAAACGCTGAAATTGACTATTTTCTGCATGTACTCATACATGTACTCATGTACTCAAGCATGCAGTCTCACTCGTATTTTAGCTCTTTTTCTGGAATGGATGCTGCTCTGCGCCCCTTGGTGAACATTTCCTGCGCTCGTGGAGCAGCTGAAAAGGACCACTGGTATGTCTAGTTCCTGGTTTGAAAGTGGAGAGTCGACTTTTGTGCCTTGAAAAAGGAGTAGAGAGCGATAAAGGTACGTCTGTGGCTTATTTTTGAGTGCTTCTCGTACATTTTTGATCGTGATAGAAATTCTCAGGCCAAAGTCAGACCAAAGTCAGCGCGATGATGGCCGTACAGTTTTCTTGTGGATTTTTTAGTTGTTTCATCTCGTATCTATGTCAGTATCGTGATGGTGAAGTGGAGAGGGTGATTTTCTTCCTCTAGGCTTCGTTCGGTCGACTTTGCTTCGTCCTCGTTGAAAAGTGATCCTGAAAAAAAGGTCGATTCGCGAAATTATGTTGATTTTGAATGTACGTGATGACATACGATTGCTGGCTATGTAAGGCAACAATGCGTGTTTGTTCTTCCAATCCAATCCAATCCAACATGTGATGTGAGTTTTTGCACACTCTGTGACTCTTGGCAGCTTTAATACTTGCTCTTGTGCTAAAATTTCTGAAATTAGAGTATTGTGCAATAAAATGCAGTGTAACAAGTCAGCCATTTGACTTACTGCATACTGGAAGTCTTGTCACACAGAGTGGCAAAGTCTTCGCCCGTGTCGCTGTAGAACCCAGCTAAGCGGCTGCTGCGCGTCAAGAAGTGATTCCAATGTACTCTGTTGTTGCCCACGATGATCAGCGTCATGGTGTTGCCAACGACAACCAGCCACTCTTCGGCACGTGTCACCAGCGTATTGAAAATCTGCGGCAGAAAAAATAAAAAGACACAAAAAGACATTGTGTACAGATGCTCACACACGTTTATGCGTACACACACGCGTGCACACGTATGTTTGGACACGGTCATGCACGCACACACATGCACGCATGCACACACACACACACAGAGACGCATGCGCACACACACACACTTGTACTTGCTCACTGCCAAAACTGGTCACGTGGGTCTCCCTAGGAGAGGGGAGAGAGACTCAAAGGGAATCTTGGAAAGATGACTCAATTGGTTATTGAACCACCCAGCGGCCGACACCCCCTGAAATCCCCAAACTAGGGCGGACTTGAAATGATCCCAATTATGGGCTCACCACACCTCAGTAAGTGGGTGAGGACAAGGTGCAGAAAAAGGATTGACGGCATCAGGGTATCCGTCCCGGGATCCAACTGCAGGTACCCCTGCCCCCAGTGAAGGTAATACTTGGTACTACTGTGGGT